CCCCCCCCCCCCATTCATGCGTGCATGGTGTGTTGGTCACACACGTGGCCTTCAGCTATTGCTATCTCCCTGTAATATGTCATCTTACAGAAAGGTCCCTTTTCAAAAAATGCCCCCCCACGGGAAAATCCTTAAAAAAGGCCCTGTATCCATCGTAAATCGTGACTGTACCATGGATAGTTAAAAGAACAGCTATCCATGGCTAACGGCCCTGTTTATACGTCGCTCCTGTGTCGAGTCAAATTTATTTCTCCCGACAATCGACGTATAAATATATTGTTATTAATTAAGGCCCGGCGCGTTTACACTATGGCGCTACGGTTAACAACTCCGTTAAAAATTTACTACGTTTCTAGTGTTGAGACTATATTGTGATTACACTATAACGGCGTGGTTTTTCGTAGCGTACTAACTACGGACCACTACATTTGCCATTCTGAATACAAATCAATTTTGTTAAAACTTCACTATGTTTCTCAGCATTGTGTTTACACTATAACGGAGTGGTATGTTTGGCACTCCGGATGCAAAGCAAAACGCGATGCTATATTTGCCGTATGATCATAGACATAGACATAGTAGACTCAATGTGTAAAATACAAAACAATGGAAACTCCGAAGAAATTCATATTTTTAATTCAACGTTTCGACTACTGTTGAGTCATCATCAGGAATTATGAAAGCTACTAAAATTTTACAAGTTATAAGCACAGGTGTGTTATAAGATGATCTAATCTGTCAACAAGTTCTAATTAAAGATAACAAGTTCTTTTGACGCTTTAGTCCCATGGTTTAATTCAGGATGTTGTCTGTGGATATGTAAAGCTTCTTTATATAGTACAAGCGACCAGTTCATAGATTTATCAATAATTATACAGTATTGTTAAGAACAATTTGAGGTACTAGTTCTAGGTTGTTAAAAGGTAAAACTATAATATTGGATTTAAATTATAAAAGTGTTCACACGAATTGATAGGTCTAAAAATCTCAGAGTCTTTCGAATCAGAATGTTCCTTTAATCTAGTGATAAGGCATCTATCTGTTTTGCCAACATAAGAATGTGAGCAGCCGGGACAAGTGAATTTGTAGACAACAGAACTTTGGTGTTGTTTTGTCGTAGGATCTTTAGGATCAATGTGTAAACGTGGCCTAAATCTGAGATAAGCTTATATTATTACAATGGATGTTTACGACGATCTTTTGATGGATTTTTCGTATATCTTTTCGGGCAAAAATTGAATTTGACCCGACACCAGAGCTATTGGTGAATGAATTTTGTCATCCATGTAAAGCTAGTAAAACTGAGTTAATATGAAAACAAATTGTGCATTCCCATGATACATTGCACGCTCATAGTTTAACGTTTAAGGTTTTGAGTTTTCGGACAACCTTTTTTGAATTAGCTGTAAACACAAATACAAAACCTCGCGTAATTAATTGTACAGGAATATACGGATTCGCTTGTTTCGCCGGACACCAACATTTGCCGTTCAGGAGCAATGCTTGCCTACAAATTTTATCCCCTTCACAATCTTTGTTTTATTTTATCGTATAATCGCAATTTTCAAGTATTCGGGGTATTCTGAAACTGTAAAACTCGGTGGCGTGACGAATCTTGTATCGTTGTAGAGACCACAATAACTACATCGGCCTAGAGCTATTAAGTAAGCAGGGTCTAACTTAATTTAGTAGTTTCATTTAATTGTTTGTCTTGCTTTTTTTTGTCAGTACAGAATATTGTAAATTAAAATATTACTACAATACAATACGCGTAGTATTTCATCAGACATCTGCACTACATTATAAATACTGCACTAGAAATACATGCAAGCAGCAACCCCTCGCATGTATTTTCCAAACATTTATTTAACATGAAGTATTATAGCAATTGATCAACACTTGAACGCAGGCTCGCGTTTAGGTCAGTGTTGCCATGGCAACACGGTAAATTTTAAAATTTTTATTATATTTTTTGTACGTACAACACGCCACAAATAGTTGAAAATTATTGCTTTTAACTATATAACAATGAATTTCCGAAATATGTACTATAGGTATGTTGTTCTGCATTTTGTGGGCTTTGATTCAATGTAAAATTCAACGCGAATCGCTACGTAAAATGTTTTGAAATGTTCATTTTAATATTAATCTATAAACTGCGTTTCCGATATACAACTGTACGGGTTTTTAGTTTATAAAACAAAATAAGTACAAATTGTTGAGTAATTTCTGTTCGGTTTTCAAATGAATTTGCTCTCTTTAACATTTTACCTTTTATTCTTAAATTAAACAGGCCTGGGTAATTTAGTAAACTTTAATACAGCTTCATTGAAAAGGAAAACAGTGCATGTTTTAGGCAATGAAATAAAGCGACAAAAGTCATAAACATTATTCATTAAACGTTAAACATTCAAAGCAAACTTGCCCTATATTCCACGATTTTCCACAGTAAATCAATTCTTCTCAATTCTTCAAACAAAAATTTCTTCAAACCTCATTGTGTGAAACGTGATTTTCCAAATATATGCCTTTGAAAATTGAAATCTTGTTTATCCCACTCCTGGCAAACAGCCATATTTTTTGAGATCAGTGAGGATGACCACCCACGGTTGGTGACCCACGCCCGCGATGATTGATGAACTTTAGACTTCGCCCTATAGTAAACGTTTCTTGTTCTGTTAGGAAACATCACAGCTCACGTCGACACGGCTTTTAAGTTTTGTAACCGGCCGAGGCGAAAGTAAATCATGCAGTTGGGAAAACGTCTTACTTCGAAATATTATTTTGCAAAACATTCTCGTACACACAAGAATCACAAAAATACTAGAAATACATGCATGCAGTAACCCCTCGCCAATATTTTCCAAACATTAAATTAACATGAAGTATTCAGAAATGGCCGACACTGAACGCAGGCTCGCGCTCAAGTGTTGCCATGACAACATGATATCTTAAATTTTTAATTTTTTCATATTTTTGTACAAAACTGCAAAATAGTTGAAAGATTTGTACTTTTAACTATACAACAATAAATTTCCGAAATATACACTGTAGGTATATTATTTTGCATTTTGTGAGCTTTGATTTAATGTAAAATTTAACTTGAAACGCTTCGTGAAATTTTTGAAATGTTCATTCAACTAAAGTCTAAACTACATTTGCCGATAAACTGTTTTACACACAAAACAAATTGTTAGGTAATTTTAGGTCAGTCTTCAAATCAATTTGTTCAAATTAAACAGTAATTTATGAAACTTAGAGCTTCGTTGACGATTTCACGATTTCCCATAGTAAATCAATTCTTGTCATTTCTTCAAACAAAATTGCTTCAAGCTTGTTGTATATGAAACGAATTTCCAAATATATGTCTTTTAAAATTGAAATCTTGCTTATCCCACTCCCACAAGCAATCAGCCATATTTTTTAGATCAGTGAGGATGACCACCCACTCTTAGGGATATAGCTATTTGCTGGTACTCGACGAAGGGGACTTTAACTTTGAAAGGTGAAAAGACCGAGGAAGTCAAAAGCAAACTTGTTCAAATTATCCAGCGTGAAAAAGCGGCTAATATGAGTCAAGATGGCGATAAAAACTTGCACTCTAGCTTGCATAATTTAACAGTGCTCACCGAACCGATGATTAATGAAGCAAGTGAGATAAATGTCTTAAAGCAAACAATGAACGAG